ACTTTTGCTCAGTTCTCCACAGCCCAGCATCAAATGGGGGGCAAAACAGCATGATATTTCTAAGTGCTGTTTCTAATGTTTCCTGCTCTTTTGAGTCCCAGCCACCACAAGCTGTGGTGGTGAGGTGGGTTGGAGTGGCATAGCATCCCAACAGCTTCAAACCAGCCAGGGTATCTGGGCATTCCCAGGCAGATGCAGGAGCTCCCCCACCACAGTGGACCCACAGTCTCGGGGTGTTCCTAAGAAGTGGGCATAGCCCTGGGAGTCTTCCAGTTTTGCCACTGTTCTGCTTTTTACCAGGCCACACATTCATAAAGCCTGTGTCCCTGCTGAGATATTTTGGTGCTTGCAAATTGTAGGCACTAGTGAAAAGATAAGAGACACACAACCTTTTTTCTTTTCTTCCTCTAAGACTCTCAAAGGTCAGATTTGGAATTAACTTCATCCTGTGTAATGTTTTGGCTTGGTTTGTATTTATTCGAAATGAGTTCACCCGTTTCTAGTGCAGAAATAAAAGGTCATGAAACCAGTGAATTCTCTTTCTCCTAAAAGGGGTGAATCCCTGTTTGGTTGTGAATCACCAGTGAAGTGTAGCAAAAGAAAAGAATCCACAAAAATATATTCTGTGGGACTGTAATCACAGCTGGGTACAATTAAAAAATACACAAGGGCACATTGGATGCCATTTGTTTGCATCAAGGTGGGGAGGGAAATAAACCAAAACTTTTACCTTTCTGCTAAGGAGAAAAAAACAAACAAAACCCACGAAAGAAAACCAAATCATTTTCTTTTCTGCAGTTTTTGGCTATGCAACAGTAGCAGCCAGCACAAACATTTGGCCAGACTGGAAGAAGGGAGGACAGGGAAAGGAGAGTTGAATCACTTTATACATAAAATAGATCTAAACCAATCCTGCCCCTCAGCTAATTCTCCGCATGTTAAAAAGGAGAGGTGCGTGTGTATATATGTGTGTGTCATTATGTTAGTTTTATTAGCCATCTGTTTTAGATATTGGATTTTAACAGAAAGTTTTGGATCCAGATTTGAACACTTTGAGGAAGGAGTGTATCCAGAACTGAACTTTTGACTCAGACTGGCATAAAGATAAATGGCCTTTTGAATTCAGGTTTTTGGTTCATTAACTCCATTTGAGTTTCCTTGCTTTGTTTAGTACAAGAATTTAGTGTCTCATATGGAAAAAAGCATCTAAACATTCTGCTGGAATAAAAATGAAAGTTTCAGTGTTTGTTTACTGTAGTGTATTGCTTCCTTCCTAATGCTTTCAACAGAAAATCTTCTTGGTTCAAATGTTTTGAAATAATTTTTTTAAAGGCAAAAGGCTTTCCAACTCTACTGCTGGTACTTGAGTGCTTAAAAAAACCCAAAACTATAGCAGCAGCACAGTGACTTGGGAGGTCCGAACGGGAAGTTGCAATTTAGACGCTCTTGTGCTAAAGTTCACTTTAGCCTAGCCTTCCATTTTTAAGCTCATTCAGCACTACCTACTAGGTACCTAGATACGAGGTATCTTAGAAAATCTTAGAAATATATCTTAGAAATAAGATAATGGACATCAGGAGCAGGACATATACATCTCACAAGCAGATGTACAGGAAAATCTGGACCTGATTCTGTAGTTGCTGGAGAAACCTGGGCATGTCCAGGGGGCACTTCATCACATCCTATAAGAGATATTTAAACCTGATCACGAAAGTCATGCTGGGAATGTGCCTGTTCTCTCCACTGACTAGAAAGAGAACATAATGTGAGCAGTTCAGATATGGATACGGTATTCCAAGCTGCAAATATCTAAAATTAGATGAGATGAATGTCATCCCCAGTCTCTGATTGCCTTATTGATCATGATACAAATGTAAATAATCTGGCATCCAACTAATGAATGTTTCATTTCCTCAAGTACATGCTCTGACCCTATATGAAGAGACCTCCGGCAGCTATCTTTGGTTTACAAGCTCAGTTGGTATTTCAAGTAGGGAGATATTAAATAAGGAGTATTTCTAGGAGAGTCTGCTGCTGACCAAAGGCATTGAGGGAAAAGGAAAGGGAAAAGGACACAGTTCACAGCCTTCATGGGACAGCCTCAATAGAAAGGCAAATCAGATTTGCTGGCTAAGAGCATCTTCTGGCTAGGGAATCAGCTCAAGTTTTAGGGAAGAGATGAGCTGACAGTAACACCCACTGCAACAGTGGACAAGGAGAATTAAACAATAAATAAAAATAGTCAGGTTCTTCTGTTTGTATTGGAGGACTAAAAAGGGGGCAAAGAGTTACATCTTCGTCAGGAACTTCTGTAATGCTAATTATGAAAAGACTGAGTGCTTATCAGCTGTGACACAGTAAACATCGCTAACCTCCTTTATTATCTCAACACTCTCCTACTGACTTCTGTCTCCCTGTAAGTGCAGCAAATGTATTATTTTGCTGCTTCTGATTAGGCCCCTGCCATGCCAAGGTTTCTGTATGTGCTGGATTTGAAACCTGTGACATTTCTATGGGCTAACAGGGGAAACTTCCAGGAAGTAAAACCTGTGTACAATCATTTACATAGGCTGTGGCCTGCAGATGTAAATTAATGGGGAGCTACAATCTTCAAGATGTGTTTCCTATGGTCCCTGCTAGAGTAGGACTAAACTCCGAAGACCTTTAAACTATACCATACCACAGTGAAGAGCAAATAATAAATGTAACTGAAAATATGCACATTGTTGGAATATAAAATTTGAATACAATAAAACCATAAGCATAACTTAAAGTCTGTTATATTACCAGCAAATTATGGCTTTTGCAATGAAAAAACCCAGGTGGCTATAAAATGCTGGGTTAGGAGCCACTAGGCAGCATTTTTTCATTTCATTCATTAGTATTTTCAGTCAGCAAACACCCAATCAGTGTGGTGGCAAGTTCCTCAAGGCCTACTGTTTAGCCTCCTTGTGTGGTGGAACATTTGATCTGACTGTCCATCACAGTAAGGTTACAGATTACTCAGTAATCTATAACTAGTTTACAGTGAGATAGTTTTTAAGTGCTCTGCTAGAAACAGAAGGCATTCACGTGTGTCTCCGTTTACTCTGAGGGGCAATTATTTAGAATACCAAGAATAAAAAGTTTAACAGAGTGTTCACAGTGAACTTTAAAGTATTCCAGTGAAGCATTAGAGCAGCTTTTAGTTCTACTGGCAGTGGCTGAATCCTCCTAGCAGCTGTATTTGGAGCTGCTGCTGACAGAACTCATGTTTGCTAACAGATTAGTTGGTAGACTAACTTAGTTAACAGCAGGTGTATTTGTTTTACAGAAGGTTCCAGAGCAGAAATTTTCTGTGTATGCGTGAAATAACATGGGCAGAGGTAGTAGGGATTTCCTAAATTATATGCAGATTCTCCCCTCAACTTTTCCAGAGGAATTTCTTATACAGAGAAAAGCAACGCCCGTACCCGTACTCTCTTCATGACCTGGAATTATCAAGTTCCCATTTTACAATACTCCCTTCTCTGCTACAGATACCACTAACTCACTTCTCAGGGAATCCAGAGAGGCAGTAGCTAACATCCTAGAAATTCTCAGGGAAAGACTGCAGTGCAAGTGAAAATGATTTCTCTTACTTTCAAGCATCTGTGCCCAGTTTACAAAACAAGCTAAATTCTGCTGGAGGTCCCAGCCTTGCACCAGGTTATGGTGCGAGGCCCCAGTGGGAGCTGTAGATTATAAGAAACCATTTCCCCCTGTAGCCTAAAATGAAACTAAGTAACCGCTGCAAGCAAAATCCAGCTACCACTGCAATGAAGCTGCATGGAATAAGCATTGCCATCATTTACCACTTGCTACAAATTGGGAACAAAGCATGTGTTACTGGCAAGTAAATCAAAACAGAAGTTTCCAAGAGCAAACCCTTTAGAAAAATTTACTTAAAAAACACAGGAAAAATAAAATGAAGCCATAGCAGAGGTTAAATTCTGCAGCTTACTGATAAAGTACATAAATTTTGAGAGAAAATAAGTATCTTAGTATGTTCAGAAAGAAAATTCTTTTAGAAGAGGAAACCCGCAGTTGTCTTCTGAGAAAATTTCTAGGTTGCTTTGAAAAAGAGCTACTACATGCCACGATAATGTTAAAAGGAAAACTGAACAAAGACAGATTAAGCGCATTTACTTTCCTTTCACATAAATGCACGCACACAACCCCATACACACTCTCCTTTAATGACTAGCATTTACTGAAAGTGATTTCAAGAAATCTGTATAAAACTCCTCCTTCCTAAAACCCCTGAATCTCAAACGTGGATCCAGCTCTAGCAATGAATATTGTGGAGGAACTCTAGAAGGTTGTGCCAAGCACCTCAGCAGAAATAGCTGCAGCTGTGCAAGATACTACTACCGCTCAGCTGTCCAGTGCCACTTCTTGCCACACCCACACACACATCAATCATATATAGGTCATTTGAGAATTCCTCATATGCTTCAATACACTGTCAGCCAGGGTAGATTAATCTGTTTCTGCAGTGGTTGCCTGACTATGATCTTGGTGAACACTATCTGAACCCTCTCATTCACCTTAAGGTTGCCATGATGGCTAACACCCATCACCAATTCTGGCTCCCTGCTTCAGGGCTTTTTTTTTCCCCAAGGACATAAAGTTATTTAGAGACTCCTCTCAGAGAGCAGAAATTCAAGCAATTTTCTACATTGCATGTGTACAAACCTGATTCAGCTGTAAATAGATTCACAGCTGAAAGTTCCCGCATACCATTTTTTAAGCTGCACTAAAGCTAGAGGGATGTAGACTGACATGAGCTGATGTTAAAATCCCCAAAGTACTGCATTGTTACTCAGATATTTTTCTATGGCAGTAAATACAGTAGATTCTGTGGAAAATTTTGGAAGAGTGATGTTAATCCTACTGAGTCCAACAGAATGAACTCACGAGGTATTTGAAATTGGACACATTTTCCACTTGCAAATAGCATTGCAGAAACATGTGCTTACCTGCTACAGGGAGAAGAAAACAGGACAAAATAGCAAATAGGGAAGACTCTGCACCAGGTTTCCAAGAGTCACGTGAACATTCTTGACAGGCGATATAATTTGGTTGAAAAAAGCCAGCCCTTGCAAATAAAGCACCTCTGTAACAGAAGATGAACAAAAAGTAGTATTGCAAATATTGCTATTCTAGCAATTGTTTCTTAAGAGTGAGCTAATAAGCCCGTACATGACACACACAGAAGTAAAATAAGCACAATAACAAATGCTGTTCTACCTCATCGCTGACAGAATTAAACATTTCTTCTTGAACTTTTCCCATTTCTGTTTTATTTTCTTCTGGGGGAAACAACACCAACACCAAGAGCTACACTTACCACTAAAGGCTCTAAGAGAGTTTCCATGAGCAGACATAGTGAAAGCAATTCTATGTTCAGCACTAAAGAGGTGACAGAAGAAGGTTTTAAATATGCTGCATGATCTGCAGTGATGACCTTTGGAGAGCAGCTGTCCTGTAAGGCCCAGGAAATTCTGAAACGCATAATTTACAAATAGGGAAATTCTTTCATCATCTTCAAATGATGGCCATAATATTGCCCGGTCAGCTCTTGAAGTGCATCTACGAGATGTCTGTTAACACAATAAACAACCCCAGAGCGGATATCTTGGTGCAGCACAGAATTTATATGACTTCTAACCCCAATACAAACATCTTCAGAATGTAAAGATTTTAATTTTTTTTTTAATCACTTGTCAATAAATATAAAACAGTATTAGGAAAACATATACATATACACATACAGATAGACACACCGTGGTATTCACACACATTCGGATCCACATTCTAAGAATGGTTCTTCATACCTTGCACTTTGCAGAGTCATTAGTACCAGCTCTAACACACTGCTAAAGTTAACTAGGAATATATAGATGTCCTTTTTGGCTCAGTTTATCCTGGGTACAAACTGCTCTTGCTTTTGTTTTGTGGCATTTCACACCCACTTTGCAAGGATGTAAATAACTACATGTGTTTAAAAATACACATTTTAAGGTTAATCTTTCCTGTGTTTGACAGAACTAAATAATCCCCTTTTACTCCCACCTTTTGTCTGCTCTAGGGGTGTGAGCTTCATTCTGTTACCACTTATTTTAGTCAAAGTCAGAGGTGTTAGTTTAAATAACAGTGTGGTGTGAAGTCAGTGCATTTTGACTGCAATGCGTTAAGAAGCGCACACATAAGCAGCTCAGCAGACAGCCTGCAGAATGGGAGAAATTACCTGCAGCTTGTAGGCTATAGAGCCACGAACTGGTATTTTGAGTACAAGGCAGGGAAAGCAACCTTTTCGGTGACACATGTGCATCCTGCAGATGACACATGATGAAATGTGAACTGAGGGATGTATAGCAAAACCACAGGATATGAGCACAGGACACTGGACATACCAAGAAAAACTCCTGTGGACACAGCTAGATGTTGTACTCCTATGTGAAAAAACGCTGTAAACAAAGCAAGCAGTATCAGAGTACAGCTTTCCTGATACAGCTGGATTTATATTAAAAGTGTCTGCCAAAACTGCCAGAGTGGTCAGGACACTGAGGTCTTCTAAAAGCTCAGCTGGAAGTAGATACTATTAGAGCACATATCTAAAATAATAGGACTTGTAATGAATTCTGGCCTTTTCCCCCCTCCCTGTTTAAAAGGCACATTGAAGAAGATTCTTAATCTTCTAATGTAAAGTATATGAGAAGTCCCACTGATTTTAGACAGATATTATGGGCAGAAAATGTAATAGTAGCTATTTGGTTCTCAAAAGATTATGGGTATGAAAATAGTGTTTTGCTTAGAGATCAAGCTTTGACATTTCTATGTGAGCAGACAAAAAATAAAAACAATCTCCATTTTGCCTATAACCTGTGATAATTTGATTAGCTGGAACAATAAACCAACATCACAGTGCTATTCTTCAGGACTTAAGGGGGTTACTTCGTAATAAATCTCCACTGTCTTTTTTACTTAAATCAACATAACTGATGATCAAAGCTCAGTTATTTCACCAATGCATGCATGAAGTATAAATTATTTTTTTAAAAAACTTCTGAATGACATTTACCTTGCTTTCATCTAATATCCTGTATATCTTAAACTATTAATAGGTTCAGGGAAAAGGAAAAAAAGAGAATGCCTGAAAATAAGAAAAACCAACCCAACCCATGATGCTGTTGTCCAGAAGTTCCAGGAGACTGTAGTTAAGCATTTACCTCACACCAGCTGAGCAATCAGTATGTTATTTTAGCAGGTAAAGCAAAACAAGAAGTCATATAGACTTTTGTTGTAAAATATTGATACCATGCTTTAAATCAGGCATTTCCCAGAGACAGAATTTCAGAACTGCTTTACCATTTTCTCAGGCACATGTTACTTACCCATCCCTCCACCTCATCAATAGGGAAAGCAGCAATACAAGTCTGTGAGGAGAATCACTGTGAACAACCCAGACGTAACAGTCATGTTGCAGCTTTAGAGACATCCTCACCCTCATAGAAAGAAACATCACTCCACAAGATTTTGGACCCCAAAGCTGCCAGAAATTCAGATTCAGCTCAAACTGCCCTGAGCTGCAGGGCAATGTGCCTTCCAAATTCTGCATGCAAGGCAGAGGAGGGAAGGGTGCAGCATGGCTGGTGATGCTGCTTTTAAAAACAGGTATTCTGGAATTTGTTCAACACCAAAATGTCACTTCTGTCCAAATGCAAAAGCCTGTTCAGAAATCTAGGGTAAATTGCAGGATCATGCATTGCAAGTGCATTATAAATAATACATTAATGCAACTACCCTCTTTTTCTAAGTGACTGTACTTTAAAAATATTTGTGAGTGTGGATGAAATTAATTTCTCATACAGCATGAACTTGCTCAGGGAAGGGAATGACAGTTCCTCCTCAGGACTGACAATGAAAGCTGCTGTAAATCAGTATTTCAGTGGAACTGACACAGTTGCCCCACTTAAACCTACAGCTCAGACAGCTATGGCCAGAGAACTCAGTCACACGACTCTAATTTTGGGTATTACTGCACGTCTTTCAATTCAGCTGTGAGTGGCCAGCAAATAAGCTGGATCATTTCAGTGACTGCAGTCTACTAAGGTACAAGCCAAGAATCAGCACAGTGGCTGGAAATGGCGATTGCAATCAAAGTGCTATCAGCCTGTCAGGCTGATGTGATCAAAATCTGACATGTAAAAACCCACAGCAGCACCATTATGGACCTTTTTCTACTGGAAGGTTTTAATTTGAGACTGCTATGACTGAGAAGCATACTGATGGCTGGAAATTGCAAAGGCTTCGTCATTACTTTCTGACTTTTGCTAGCTCAGCTCAATCAACCAGAAGTGTGGAAAAAAGTGCATGGGAAGAATGACGTGAGAAGACATCAATGAAAAATGCACCATCTGTATTCTTAGCTTTATTCATCGAGTTACACACATGTAGATTTTCCTTTGGGCAGGCTAGCCTTATTTCAGCCTATGAAGTAAGCGTCCTTTAGAACTTTTGGCCTTCCCCTCCCCAACCATTAAAAAAGCCATTCTACAACTGCTCCCAACAAGCAAAACCATGGGCTTCAGCCTATATTATACCTGGCTTCCCAAGCATCTTGATTCACTCTTCTTTCAGACCTGTAAAAGATTTGCAGGTTTAAAACATTTTTTCTTCTTTTTTGTTTTGCCAGAGATGAAAAGATGGCAGTATGTCTTCTGGGTTGTATGACCCTGATCTTCCTCATTTAAAAAGACATTTCACTTTAATCAAATCTAAGCTCATACTTTAAATTATAACCAAAGGATGAATTCTGATAAATTCTGTCTACAGAAATGGATAGGAAAACCCCTGTTGACTTTGAGGCAACATTGTACCTCAGACAAATAAGAAGATTGTTTTTAATGCTGACTTCTCATAGCTGATTTTTTTTCCTGACAGTCTGTTTCTGTTTCATGTATTGCTGTTTCTTTTCTGCTGCAATAGTGACATTTAATCTGCTTTTATATCTCTGGGGACATAAACTTACAAAGATAGAAACCTAAAGGCGGTAATTTCTCCTGAAAATCCTTGGTGTTACTCTTAAAAGAAGTTGGATGCAAAACTTACAGAAAGCTCTACATTAAAAGGTATCAAATTGTACTCCATGGAGACAGAGAAAAAGCTAGAACCTTCCAAAACCAAACATGTAACTTTAAGAGGCTAATTACAAGTTTAACATAGTCTAAAAGCACCAAAAGTTCTCCCCTCTTAGATCATGACTTTCTCCACACTCTAAACTCCAATAATTCATATTTTAAACCTCTCCCATTCCGTAGACCAAATCCTACGTGTAAGGATCATGAGACCAAATGGGACACAGATTACAATTTCAGCAGGCAAAGACTGGAAAATCCTATTCATAACTTGCATCATCTTCAGCTAAATTCATATTTGATATATTAGTGCCTTGGTTTTACAGGCCTCACATAAAAGTCAACAACAGTGATTTCAGTTTAAAAAAAAAAGCTTCAGGTAACTCAGGGAGAAAAGTTCTTGGGTAGGTAAATGCAGCATAACTAAATACTTAAAGTTCCCTTTGAACTTTCCACAGGCTCTTTCAGGACAAATCAGAAAAGTCTTTCATTTGCTTCCATTAAAGCATGCAAACTTATGAATTTTTGAAGCAGCAATTGAAGGCTTTTACTGGGAAAGGATGCAGTGAGTGTAAATGAGGACATTTCGGAAGAATTTCACTTCAGCACCTGCTGGGTCTCCTTTGCTGACTTAGTCACTTCTGGCAATCTCATGGACAGGGACTGTCAACTCCTTTACTTTCGTAAGTAAACCCAGACAGGATCTTTTGTACAGCAGCCTGGCACTATATCTGCAGCAACATTTCCCAGAAATATAATAATAACAAAATAAGAGGCCTTTCCCTTCAGCTGCCTTTGCTTTTCACTAAAATGCCAACATTTCTTGCTGGCCTCCTTCCTTATTCCCAAGAACTGTGGGAGGTGGAAAAACAAAAAGGGAACATTTCAATTTGTTCTCCTATTTATAAGTAATTCCTGCACTGTGGGGAGGTCCTGCCCACAGCCATCCTCACCCCAGCCCCTCTCCAAGACCAGT